CTTCTCAGGACCGTGTCACGGTAATAACTGAGGCAACGGAGAAACTGCACATTTAAAGCTAGTCCACTGCTAGAAATCAAAGACACTATTTCTGCTCTCCACAAATTGTTTATTTCAGAAGCAAACACTATAATTTTATTAGCAAGGACGGAGTAATGTGCCCTTTTGATTATTATCAAAGATTAATCTAACCAAATAAAGACTGTTAAATTTAGATAAACTTGGTGAGTGCAGCCCAATGACGTCTGCCTCTGATGAATTCAAAACGCTAAGTCCTTCTGAAAACCCTTTCCTGCGGGAGCGTCGCTTCATCCCCTGTATAGGATTTGAACCGACGGCCTTTCTTCCAGACAGGAATAGTTTCCTATTGGCTGATTTTAACTGCCAAATCCTTCATACCATCAGCACTAGACAATCACATAACGAACTTTGAGAATAAAGAGATCCAAAGATATTGAACCCGGAACCCCACATGTGAAAGCGGTTATTTCTTAGTTTAGGGTCCAATTACACCCTTCCGAAGACACTTTTATAACAGCTACCCTATCAGCAAAACAAAATTTACATCTTCGGCAAACTACAGACTTGCCTTTCGTGATGGCGGCGTCACCTTTTCGGTCACCCAAGCTGCAGGTATCAAAACAAGGCAGTTGTTCCTGTGCAGATGCGAAAAGCAAAATAATAACTTGCTAATGGATCGGTCTCCCCAATAAATCAGTCACTCTATTGAAATGGCTAAAGAGGAACATAGCGTCCATTGAAGAGTTTTAAAAGGTTTGGACTGTCACAAGATTGAGTTTAGATATTCTCACGGAAGCGAGTATTTACATTTTTTTTTGGGCTGCGACTCCGTGTGGTTTATTATTGTATACGAGTATGTCAAATACCAGTGTTTCGGAGGGACCCGTTGCCTCTATCTTCAGTGTGAAGAAAAGAGTTAAACTTCTACCCTTAAGATGGAGACACTAAATTCCTCTGAAACTATCGACAAAACTGTAGGGCATAACGTATCAAAACACCGTAATCACATAACAGATTGATTTCCCTCTACTATTAACTTTTGGAAACGTTTGGTTTGAGGCTATCACAGCTGTGGCTGTGAATAGTTCTGTCCTTTGGAGTATACAGGTGTACGTGTATAATGCACGGAAGTTATATCCCGATATGCAGATGAACTCTTTGGCTGATATTAAACCTGAATATTACTGCGTTCTGGGATGGAGGTACGCCACTAAACAATTACCAGACTACACGGCGTCGCATCCCAAACGACAATGATATTCATAGTTACGGCCGTGAGAACCTCAGTTCACATTAACCAATTAAATATGCATGAATATTTCGAATTTAGAATTTTCCGGCATACTATTTGAGAAAGAGTGACGTAGAGGAAAAGACTTGGAACCTGTGGCATGATTTTCCGCACTTACGTGTATCTGCGTCGTTGTGCGTTGTATTGAAAACGCAGAGCGCGCTTACAGCGCTGCCGGTTAAGGGTGTGGCGACCTGTGTGTTTCAGGATGTCAAGTTTCGGTAACAGTTTGTCCTGCAGAGCGACGTCATTCCCTCAACATTACATGTCTCTGGACTGGGCGTGTCCTGCACGTGTGTTTCAAATCGTATTTTCACCACAGCCCCTGAAATACTGCGTTTAGAGTATCCGCCTCGTTCCTCTGTCGGAGAAGTTGCCGAATAAGCAGGCGTTTGTGAACTAAACTGGGAATCTGTGCTGTATCCTATATTATGGTATTCTAAAATGTGTTTTGTTTTACGAAGGACGGTACTCTGTCTCTCATTTTGAACAGAAGGCTACAAATCCAGTTGTTTCTAGCAATAATATGTATTGTATTTTTCATCATTCTGTTGCACTGATGTATCACTCTACACGTTAACTTCCGTCTTTAATGTAATTTTTTTTTCACAATCTCTCCTTAATTTAAAATAATATTAAAATCATAATAACTGATACCTGTTTCGGCCTCAGAAAACTGTTCACTGTTCGAAAACGCCACACTGCACTATTTCTTAAGTCAAAATAATGCAATGCTATTGTATTCCTTTTGTTCACACCAAAAATATATTTTTTTCGAGAACATAACTTGTTATCTTTCCCGCGCTATTTTTCTCTTGCTGCGTGCGTGTTTTTTATCTTGTTTTATTTAGCCCCATGAACATCGGCGTTGCGCTGTTATCGTTGTTATTTTTATGTGCCCCATTAATATGTATGTTCCCATTAGTCGAATGTATGCTCCTTTGTATATCTAGCAAGTCTCAGCGTGTTTATGTACGGTAAAGTAATTAATGCCGATCACAGTAACCGCGTGATGTAAGAAATAACCTGTCTTCGCTCACTTGAATATTGGGATCGTGGGTTCGAATCCCGCTCAAAGTATGTATGTCTGTGTGTGCCTTTATTCTGTGTTTTGTCTTGTTCTGTGTGTAGATAGCGGCCATGCTACGCGATGATCACTCGTGCAAGGAGTCCTACAGTCTGTGTAAAAATGATTACGAAATTGAAGAAGAGGTCAGGGCCCAACAAAGGGCTGTAAAGCCGTTGATGAATGAATGAGATAGTAATTAATATGTATTTTTGCTTTTAAAGTAGATAGGGCTACACAATAACACAATTTTAACATTTATACATGATGCCATATGAAAAGATTTGTGAAAGTTACCCAGTTTTTAAGGTTCTGGAGTTTGTAACGCCATCCCGACTCCTCAGTTCTGAGGCAAGCAGCTGCCGACCCCAAATTTCGTCTCTGCTTGGTCGTCATGCATTTATATTCCACAAAAAAAAGAAAGAAGATATCAGCAGTGTTGAATGCAAGCTGTTCAGTGCCAAAAGGGAAGTGAAGGAACCAAAAATATCTGCTAATAAAACGGTAAATTGTCAAATTATGTATAATGAAATATGAGCCTATTTTTGAAGTTTACAAAGTCTTCTGAACTGTAAAAGAAATAATTGCCGGTCACGGTAGCCGAGCGGTCTAAGGCATGCACTGTCTTCGCTCGCTTGGAAGCCGGGATCGTGGGTTCGAATCCCACTCAGGGCATGGCTGTTTGTGTGAGTTTGTCTATGTTTGTGTACAGGTAGAGGCCTTTCGACGAGCTGATCACCCGCCCAAGGAGTCCTACCGTATGTGTAAGATCTAGAAAAACCGAAGTGAACGGAGAAGTTCATGGAGGTAGGCCTAGGCCCACTGGGGCTGTAGTGCCAAGGAAAAAAAAATAATTTTCGGGCTTTGAGCTGTCCTCGGACTTCGTACTGAAGAGGCAGGTACGAAACATGCATTGCTGAATGTGCCGCAATTCATTCAACAACGCTTTCTCAACTACACGGGACTTAGAGCCTTTAGTGTACGATAATGTACAGCAAATTTGGAAGGATGTTAATTGAAGCTGCCCCGGTATGTTGTAAGGCAGTGTCCAAACATTTATTTGGAGGGACTGAGGAAATCCACAGAAGACTGATATTCTGAATAAGAAGTGAAAATAACAAAGCACTCTACCACGGCGTTTGTCAATTGAAGTTTCCTCTAATCATGAGAAAGGAATTACGTTTTATATTGTTACAGTAGATTATTCGATCCAGTTTTAATAGAACAGATGCCGGTAACGGTAGCCGAGCGGTCTAAGACATGAACTGTTTTCGCTCACTCGGAAGCAGGGATCGTGGGTTTGAATCCCACACAAGGCATGGATGTTTGGTGTGTATATGCGTTAATTCCGTGTTTGTGTTGTCCTGTGTTGAGGTAGAGGCCTTGCGACGAGCTGATCACCCGCCCAAGAAGTCCTACCATATGTGAAATGACCACGAAACTGTGAAATCAGCTCTCTGCTCCAAAGTGGGAGCGAGAGGAGAGAGAAAGAATAGAACAGATCCTCAACCTAGACTAAAGGATTAAAACTCCACTGAATTTTCGAGCGCTTATAGATATTTCCATATAATAACAGATATGTCCATTACTTTCTCGTATCAATATATTATTATGGAGGCCTCAGTAATGTTTTTATATGTTCAACTACATTAAACGCCTTGCGATTTTTCCAACATTGACTATACCTCTGAATTGAAACTTTATCAGAAAATAAGTGAGGTAATTTTATCTCACGAATGAGAAAAGTTGCTGCATGCTTCCCGGTAATATTTGACATGGGGACCATGAAAGCTTATATTAACCATACAGGTAAGTCAGTATTTGAGACTCTTCCTCGTCGTAACCATTTTCTGTGTGGTGACAGTAGCAAGGAGGTTTGTTGTCTTGGAATTGAATGTGTTTTCATCTAGATCACCGCATATAAGGGGTTATGCGACCTGTAGGCGCCGTCACAACGAATGCTGCCATTGGTCGATACAGACTTAACGTATTGAGGATGGACTGCATGGGTTCAACGACCTACCTCTGTTCTCAGTGAATTTAAAATCAGTCTCACTTTCTGTTCTGACGTCAGGTGTAAAGTACGATAAGGATATATTGTTGTGCCATAGGTCCACGCCGCAAGAACGACAGGGGGAGTGGGGACAAAGATGCAAGCGTTTATACCGCTTCACTAGATGGGCGTGAGTAGTGGTGAATCCCCTCTCTGACCGCTTTACACCCGAGAATAATGCTCCGTGTATGGATTGGGTTAGAGGCTAGTTACACGACGGAGGTGATCTGTAAATGGTGGTGAAGAAGATACCGAGCCTCCCGAGGATCGAAGCCGAGTCTCTAACCATATAGTCAGCCACTTTCTGAGCTATCCCGCAGATGAACAAGGAAAGAGCTCAGAATATTGGCGGAGGAATTTCTCGGAATGAAACGGGATAATGAAGAGGTAATGCTGTATATTTGCATTCAGGAGGTACCCAGTTCTATACCAGGTTACTGATCGTCCTACTCACGATTTTTGCGGCAGTCCTCTTTATCTTCAGACAACTTCATGTATAATTTATTTAAATTGGCTCTTGTGACGCTGTGCGTCTACAAAATATTTACACTCAGTGGTTCTTCTTTCAGATAAGCCTGGACAAATCTCACGCTGACACGGCCGGACGATGAAGACAAGAGGAACACAATAATCTCTCAACAAACGTTTCATGCACACGCGGTAGGTATTCATAAAACCCCAGTGCTTGACTTTCTGTTTTGTTCTGCTTTTATGTACCATTTATTGTTAGTGGTTATGGATAGGACTCTCAGGCGGCAGTGATAAATACCTGTGTTCCATCCTATTGCAGATGTCAGCATCGAAATTCCGCCTTAATGCAGCTCACTCACTATTAACATCAACATTTTACTCTATTGGAGTCCTTCTGTGTTGTTATCAAAATTATGCTAATGCAGCCTAACCACTGTTAACATCAAAATACCACTCTAATGCAGACCCTCAGAAAGTTAATATCGAAGTTTCGCCATGATGCAATCCTTCCCATGTTAATATTAAAAAACCGCCCTAATCCATATATCAGTATCAAAATTCCCCGCTCATGCAGTCCCCCTCTCCCCAATAATATCAAAATTCAGGTCTAGTCTAGTAAAGATTCTGCTCAGTTTTGGTCCTCTGCTGAATAAACTAGAGCCATCCACTTTCCAGAGCTTTACTCTGTCCCCATCCTACATTCCCTTCCCATCGCTTTACCCGCTGTCGGTACTATTACGCCAGCAGAGCAGGAAGGAACTGCCTCGGAGCTTTCAGAGGCGGTAATTGTCAGTTTTCGACCTTAAAAATGTAGTGCCATTCCCTCAACTCTCCACTTCATCTTCTGTATCATTAGATTTAAAGGTCACGGATTCGATTCTCGATGAGGTTATTGGAGTTGTTTCTTCAATTGACCTAATCCTTCCAGCCGCACTATGGCCCTAGGTTCGTCTCAGCCTATAACAAAAATGAGTACCAGGAATCTTCACGGGGTTAAAGGGCGGCCGGCGCGCTAAGGCCGAGAACCTCATCGCCATCTGTTATCCGATTGTCTAGAAAATGTGGGAGCCTCGACCTCTCAGAACCTTATGGGCTTTCACGAACTTTTACAGGAATAGCTTTCCCTTTTCTAGTGTATTCAATTTCAAAAATCACATACGGATTTGTGTAAGTTTCTAACGTTTTAGCGCTAATTCTGGGATAATCCCGTTTATTTCTCAAGTACGTGTAATTAGAATTTCGCCAGCAGTTATCCACGTTAACTACATTATTGGCTCAGTGATTCGGCGGTAGAATTCTGGAATGGCTGAGCTAATGTTGGCTTCTCAACAATGACACGCCTTCAGAGCGTTACTTAGTTCCTTTGTCTTCTTTCCCTTCTCATCCTCTTTCTTCACTATTTCATTCTCCCTGGCTTCCTCTGTCTTATCTTCCTCTTCTTTCATCATTATCTTTTCCTTTCCTCTCTTTCCTTTCTCTGTTTTTATTGTTCTTTTTCAGTGTTGTACATTCAGATTTGTAGGTCTAGGTTCAATTTCTGAAAAGGATGAACCAGAGTTAAATCTTCTTCGGCAAATCCTTCAACATAAATGTCTCTTAGGAGAGACGTTTAACGTTATGAAATAAGATTTGAGAATTTTATTGCCGTGGATGTTGAGATTGCGGTCTTCTAGAATATGACGCTGTTTACTCTGAAGAAGGGGGATGTAAGTTCTTACGAATGAATGAATGTATAAGGGGTGGGACTTCTCGGCCCTTGCACCGCGACCTACGGTGGTCTATTGTGCTTCCCCTTTTGAGTATCCCCTCAGCAATCCTGCCCTTCATTCGAAGCCCAGGATTTTATACGTGGCGTCGACGTAGTCACTTGGTTCCATAAATACTGACCCAAGTGACGTAATCTTAAATAAGATAAGGCCTCACACTCACGCAGAATATGTGTGTGGCTGTTTCATTTTCTTCTTGACATATCTCACAAGTGGGACTATCACTTTGTCCCAGTTTGAAGAGGTGTCCTTTGAGGTGACAGTGTCCTGTAAGTAGTCCTACCACCCATTGTAGCTGCTTCTTGTTTAACTTCAACATTCCCTTCGCTCTTTTAGCAGAGGGTTCTCGTATGAGTCCCTTTCCTTGCCTGAGTCCAGTCAAGGATCCCCAGTAATTCTTGTGCTTCATTTGTCCAGTCCCTGATTGCCTTTCTGGCGACTCCTATAGAGATGCCACAGGCTGGTTCAGGTCCTATGTACGGATGTTCAGCTCCAGTCTTACCCAAAGTTCTTACGAAACATTACAATCTATCTACCAGACTTCACGGCTTCACATACCAGGAAACTACGATCCTAGATTAAATAAGATCAGAGATTTTTAACTTTAGGTGTTAACTTGTTTATACGTAATTTACGAGAACATGCATGTTTTGTTTTGAAGAAAGCAGTTTTCTGGGATTTGGCACCGTGTATATGTGGTGTTAACCGACGTTTCGGAGGAACGTATCGCCTCCATCTTCAGGGTAGAAGAAAAAATATAAGAAATCTGCAAGCGAAGAGACCTATTTTTTCTTCTACCCTGAAGATGGAGGCGATACGTTCCTCCGAAACGTCGGTTAACACCACATATACACGGTGCCAAATCCCAGAAAACTACTTTCTTCATAGTCACCGCCGTGAAAGCCTCAAATCTTACATGTTTTTCTTTGCTGTACTAGGAAAAGAAATGAATGCCAAAAGAAAAAAGAAAGAAAAGAGTTTAATTATTCCTGTCATTTTCTATGTATTAATTTGAAGCACTGTTGGATTTATAAATGTTACCTGAAGACTTCAACGAGCAGTATTAGTCTTTTTAACACTTTGTCATTAAAAACCTCGGAGGGTTTTATGCGGTTTGGTGTATCCAATCAGCTCAAAAGCGGAGCAGCGAGACTTTTCATGGTTTCCATGACCTTTATATGACCCGTATTTGAATACCTTATCGCATTACCGATACGAATACTATGACATGGATCTTTCCGGACACTTCAGCGCGGAGGTAACACGTCGGACTTTTGCGGTTATCGGACCTCAATCTCAGTGCCTAATGGTCATTCAAGACAATTGCTTTGTGGTATATCTCAGGCTCTCCGGATTAAATCTGGGGCAGGGTCTTCCAGATCCCAACTGTAGTGACCACATTTCCATATTTATGCATCATTAACACTGCACAACCTCTAAAAGTGAATCTCTATAGTTAAATTATCCCCCAAATTCGTGAGCCTTAGAATATATGACTTGATGGAAATGTAATCCCAGTAGGTGTGATTTACATAAAGGAAGATTTAAAGATCCGATGACTCGACTCAGTGGATGGCACACCCACTTCATATTTGGGAAGTCCCGCGATCAGATCTCGGCCTGGAGACTATATTCAGACTGAAGGTTTTCATGGTTTTCCTCAGTCCCATCATTTTCAGGAATAGTAACTCAAACTAGGCTACGAGCATTTCTTTTACATCGGTTCGAATTTATTAGTCACGAATCATTTTACCACTTAACGCCACACTTACATAGTCTGAGCTATCTAAAGTACCATTAAATAAACCATAAAAAGTAAGTTTTTAAGCTGAGAGGACAGACAGTAGTTCTCTGTATTTTCCATCAAAACCAGTACGAATATTGTTCTACGATTCGGTCCGAAAGCGAAGTTGCCTGTCTGCCTCAGAAATACTCTGTGACAGCGCATAGACAACGCGAAGACAAAGTTCGTCTCGTATTGGAACAACGGATTGAGTTTTTTTTTAATTGGCTTAGTGGGGGGTGGAATCCAGTTGGGTCCACTCGGCACGGCGGTCACTGATTGGCCTACTGTAGCCTGTCCCGGGTGATTATGATGGAAAATTTGGTGGAATGAAGATTGGCAGGGGAAACCGAAGTACTCGGAGAAAACTCGCTTCAGCGCCACTTTGTCCGCCACAAGTCCCACTTGACCAGACCCTGGATCGAACCCGGGCCGCCGCGGTGGGAAGCCAGCGACTAACCGCTTGAGCTGTGGCTCTAACTTACGGATTGAAGTTAGTGGTCACCTTCAGAACCTGACCACTTTACTCTGCAGGGAAACCTTATGGTGACCATTGGATGGGAGAATCTATACATTACTGGAAGAGAAAAATATCTGCCCCCACTGGGAAACGAACTCTGGCTATTCACCGCAGAGCCAGTCACTTTATTGTTATGTTTCCCAGTTCATTGGTAGCCAATTGATCTCATTTCAACCAGAATAGGGTTCTAGAATTGGTTAATGAACCTGGAATTGATTTTTCTAATGCCACGTGATTTTTTTAAGTTCTCCCCTTTCCTGCATTATTATATCCGTCTGCATTTCTTATCGCCAACGTAATTGAGGTTAAGTAACATCGGTATTTTTTTTTATTTCTCCAATTTATTATACAATCTATCCAGCTATTTTGGATAATAAGTACTAGTTATGATGAGTATAAAAGTAATTTAACATGAAGAACGTGTTCCAATGAACTCGTTCTATATGTAATTTAACTAATTATAGTCAACTAGTTAATTGTTTTACAAAATTAGATAGCAAATCTGGTTAACAGTTCTGACGGTTTAAATCTGTGAAGCCTCCTGACTTCTTCTTCATCGTAGAGGTGCGTCGCTAAGGAATTCGGGTGCTTCCGGAGGCGTGCCTGATATTTTTTACTGGAGAGCGTGATTTCCTCGCGTACTGTTGGAATTCCCAGGTCCTTGTGTAGGACGAAGTTTGGTACGTACCATGGTGCGTTAACTAGTACACGCAGTACCATATTTTGGAATCGTTGAAGAAAACATCGGTATTTGGTGTAACGTTTTTAAAAAGGCTATGAATACGTACTCTTTATTGAAATTTTATTTGAAATAAGGACATGCGTTACCCTGTACGAGCGTGTTATATTATTGGAAATGCCTCTGAAATAAAATCAATCATAGCCAATAAAATTATTGGTTTGGGGGCAATATTTCTGTTATTTTTGAGCGAAGACCGGCATCGTAGATCCCAGCTGAGACCAACTTGTGGCAGGTGGAATCCAATTTTACAGCGCACTGGGGCTTTACTGGGGCCTTGGGGAATAAATTGAGTTCTCTCAGTTAACTGCTGGAACATGGGAGTGAGAGAGTGACCTGACAAACAGAAAGAGGAATTTGAAGAGTCGAAAGAAACTACTGCTACTCGTAGGTGAACTCTTGATGGGCAAAAGTTAATGATCAGTGCCAAGTTCAGAAGTTTATATCAGAACGTAATAAAATAACTTACGTGCGAAGTTATTGTGACGTCTTGCAATAGTAGCCGACTTATTTACTTCTTAGGTTGTTACATAGCGTCTAATACAGTAGGAAGGTCATTACGATTGATGAGGACGCAAGAAATTTTTAAGAAATTATCTTGGCCTGTTTAAATATAAGCTACTGTGTTCCATCTCTTTACGAACCCGGCTACGGCATACTTAATGTAGGCAATATTGTATAAGTACTGTGGCGTACAGACCCGTTGCTAAGCGATGACTCTGTAAACAACGACTGTTTCTGGGCAACGGCTCGGTAAACACATTCCCTCGTCAACGAATATGCACCAAACAATAGAGTTGCTGTTGGAAACGGGGTGTTTTCTACGTGGTACGTGCCGAGATATTATAAGCAAGGGACAGAGTCGAGAATTGAGTTCTGCACGGGAGGTTGTGAAGATAAGACATGAGCGCGGGAAGCTGAAGGCTCTTCAATGTTAGAAGCCGTTGCAAGGGAACGTCTGGTGAAGACACAACACTTGGGAAAAGGCTTAGCGGGTGCGTAGGCGATTTTTGAATTGTGGAGATTAGCAGTGGCGCTGTAGTTGCTTGTACTACGAGTCGTGTGTGTAAGTGGTGAGTAAATCCAATCCAGATCCCGTCTGTAGTCACACGCATACACGGTACAGCATGTTTGAACATTCCACTGGCGTGTGAATACCGGATATGTGTTTAAGATAGAATCTGACACCTCTCTAAGGATGACGTAAAGGTTCACATGGGCCGCGCCATAGCTCAAGCGGTTAGTCGCTGGCTTCCCACCGCGGCGGCCTGGGTTCGAGCTGGTCATGTGGAATTTGTGGTGGAGAAAGTGGCGCTGGAGCAGGTTTTTTCTCCGAGTATTTCGATTTCCCCTGCCAATCTTCATTCCACCAATTGCTGCACAATCACCCTCATCTATCATCTGGGGCTGGTACAATAGGCCAGAAGTGGCGGCAGTACCAAGTGGACTCGGTCTCACCCCACTATGGAAAAATGATCACATCGCTAACTGACGATGAAGCGCCTTCGTTCTTATAGTAGATGGAGTATATCTTTGTAGTCCTATGGAGAAACTGAATAAAATCACCAAATTTTTCCGTCAGTATTCCTTTAAAACGGCAATGATTCGATATGGAACAAGTAACACTACTGCTTCTTATGTTTTGAATGATTTAGATATACACGTATGTAGGGCAACCCCCAGAGGCCATCGATCTTTTCTGGGTGCAGCCAAAGTAAGAGTTGCAATTTATAGCTGACAGCGTACGCATCTGCGTGCCAATTGGCCCAGTCTCTATAAGAACTGGGCTACGGGCTGGATGGTCGGATAATCGGGTTTCGATTCTCGGCTAGGACAGATTTTTCTCTTTACCGTCGCGTTGAGATCGGCAAGAGAAAGAGGAAAGACTGAAGCTATGTCTGCTAACTAAAGTAAACAACTTCATGTAGCTGAGCCCTTCTTGAGGAGAAACCAAATCTGCAGTTACTCAACAAATTTCCGGCATTTTATGGAACCCGAAGGTTCATTACCGTGTTCACAAGAGCCCTCCGCTGGTCCCTATCCTGAACCAGATCGGTCTAGTCTATACCACCCCATCCTATATCTCTAAGATCCATTTTAATATTGCCCACGCACATACATATTGGTCTTCATAGTGATCTCGTTCCTTCTGGCTTTCCCATCAATATCGTATGTGCATCCCTTTTCGCCCCCAGTCGTGCTATATGCCCTGCTAATCTCAGCGGGCTAAAGAGCCTTGTATCCGAAGAAGATAAAATTTAATGGGAATACATGCGGCTTACCTTGAACTGTTCCATGGGACTTTGACGATGCATGGGCATGGTAGAACTACAAGTAGCAAGCGTAGTTTCGTATCTTTTCGCTGCGAACGCACCAGAAGACGTCGGAATTTAGAATCATTAAACATGAGATCCCTTGTGGATGGTTTCAGAAGGCGACGCCCCCGGAAGTAAGGATATTCCGTGTTAACTTCCTATAATTAATCATTAAAAAGTAAATTAAATTAGAAACGCAATACAGGAAGAGCTGTAACAGCTTGGCAGTAACATCTCAGTTTCTCTACAGTGTGTAACCGCCTGTCTCATCTCTGTCATGTTCCAAGTTACGAATATCTTGTCCGTTGCTTATGCCATGCGAAATAATCTATTTGTAAAAGTTCAAGCCCTTTGTTACATTTCATACTACAATAATTTTTACAGTGAAGGGTAATCAGCTTGCCAAGCTGTAACCGTCCTTCTTCANTACTGGACAGTTACAGAACCTTACAACTGGAATAGCACTCCTTATCAGCCGTTCAGGACGCATAATTAACATCTGGAGGCAGTACCCTCTGTCCACAGCCACGTAGGAGGAATGAGAGAATGTTGTGACATGATTACATTGTCAGCTGCGTGGTAACGGCTAAATAGACAAGTATCTGGGCAGCGGATACGCAAGCAACGATAGAAGAACGGTTGGAAACTGTGTAGTGTATGCGGTCCGTGCTGAGGCTGCATGGCGGGCACGAATGAGGCAGCCAATCAGTTGATGCGCGCAAGCAACCACCATATTCTCTGGATACGCGCCATAAGAGGAGCCGTGCAGAGAAGAATGAGGCGGGGTCGAATACCTCCACCGTATCCTTGCGAGTCTTAGGAGGCGACGAAAAAGGAAACCAGTGCCTGGGGGTATAATTGGGCCACCATGTTCCGGGGGGATATAGATACAGGGACCTGGCCCCCCAGGTTGGAATCTAGAATCTGAAACGGTAGAATGTGATCATGAGTCTCGCGGGACTCGGACCTGAGAATGACTGAGCTGGCGAGGACCAGTAGCAATTGTAAACGACAGACTCATCCCCTCGTCAGAGAGGACGTTACATAAGGACTATAACCTCAAGTGTTCAATTGTTAATTAAAATTACTGGTCGTGAATCTCAAGGGGCTTGTCGCCAGGACGAACTGATTGGCCGCAAACCTCCAATCGTAAAGCAACTCTGACTGCTGAGTCAGTCAGTTGAGAATCGACAGTTGAGGACCAGTTGTGAGATGGTAGAAAGCAGGCAACGATGTAAACAGAAGACATTATTGGGAGCCGTTAAAGTAAAATAAAAAGTAAAGCTATCCTTGTACCAGGTCGTGAAGGCCCATAGGGTTGTGAGACGTTGAGAATGCCACATTATCTAGACAATCGGCTCAAAGATGGAGGTAAGGTTGTCAGCCTTACGCGCCGGCCGCCCTTTACTCCCCAGGAAAATTATTTAATTAATTCCTGGTACTAATTTACTAATCAAAGATCAACGAAGATGTAACAGACAGAAGCCTTTATTTGTACTGCAGTACAATGATTTGTAGAGTATGTAGATCCGTGTAACTGTCACAGATACCTATAGTTACGAGTTATGGGTTACCAGTCTAACTCTCATGTCTAGTCACTAACACTTGACAGCACTTTTGAGTTAGATTTTAAAGAAACAAAGCTTGAGGATGTCGATTGCATTCAAGTAGTTCGGGTTAGGCACCTATCGTGACCTGTTGTGAACACGTAAATGAAACGGAGAATTCCGTAAAAGGCGGTCAATTTCCTGGTATATTGAACGATTATCAGTTTCTCAAGGACTCTGATACACTGAGATGTTGTGTAAAAGTTTCGAATTTAAAATACCCAGTTGTATTGGTTGCCGATTGGCGGGGGGGGGGGGGGGGG